ACCAACTCTTCGAGTTGATTCAAAAAATTTATTTTTTTAGCCTAAAATTTAAATAGATTTTATTTTTAATAATTTCCAAAAACTTTTTTGACAAATATTATTTTTTAAAATATCATACATATATTTTAAATTCACTAAAAATAAATGATAATATATATTTTTGAAAATTTCAAAACAAAATGAATCTGTTTAAAGTCAACACCCAAATGATATTTTGACTTTTAAAATATATTATTTGCTAGGTAAATATCCCATGGACAATACAAAAATTAAAAAAACCATTTGACTTAGATTATTGAAATAAAAGAAATTAGAAATTTATTTGGATAGTTGGTGATTTTTAAAATGTCACAAATGAAGATATAGTTTCTAGATTAATATAAATTGGGCAAACAATATAATTAATATCGATCTCAACCAATATGAGCATAACTCAACAGATATAACATATGTAATGTTATGATCCATTAAATTTCAAAAAGATAATGGATTCGCTCAATACTAATTGAGTCAGTACTTATTAGGTCAATCGATTTTGATTCGACAACCTATTCAAGTTTCTCCCCTATATATCCCTAATTTGAAAAGAGAACACCACGAGAAAGCTTAAAGGTCGGATGAAGATTCGAACCTTCTACTCATAACCCATATAAACTCGATATGTTTAGTCACTTGCAAATATATATACCCCACGAGAAAGCTTAAATATATATATCACTTTCATCAGAAGATGAATTCCTCTGCTGATTTCTTCCCTATTTTTCGAAGAGAAGCACAAAAAATAAAGCGTTTATGTGACAAAACATGTGATCTACAAGTAACACCTAAACGGGATCAAAACTAGCTAGTTTAACTTTGCGATATAGAAAGTTTAGAAGTAAGGGAGATGATAGATGTTACCAGATGCAGATGGTATGAAATCAGCTCCGGCCCCGACACTGACCCCGACCCCGACCCCAACCCCGGCAGTTGCTTTGGTACAACTGCACACACCTTTGACAGTCATATTCTCATCAAATATAACAATGAGTTTAAATAAATCACCTCGATTCTCTTGATGAAATAGAGATGGAAAAGTAGTTAGGTGAATAAAGAGACCATTGACTAAAACAGAGAAAACTAGACGTTTTTCAAATCCGTTACGAAAGGAAATGCATTCGGGTGAAACTCGGACGAGACTAGAAGAGTTCAAGAGCTGGATCCATTACGAAAGGATATACGAAAGATTGACAAATGGATCATACAAAAAGGCTTTAGAGAATTGAACAACCAGAGATGCTAATCAGTATAAGACAATGATGCTGTTTTTAACATATGATCTACCAGAACATGAGAATAATGCCATGAATTCTCCTGCAAATCGACCAATATACCGAAAAAGACGAACATTATGCATAGAAAGTAGTCATTTTACTTGCAAAATCATATGACCTACAGTCCTGATGGCATTAGATAAGACCAAACAGGAACGTTTCTCAGCTGATCGGGTAAAAGAACCCCGTTGAGCGTAGATGTCGATGAGCTGCGTTCTTGCAGTCAATCCCTGGCATAGAAACTTTATTAGAATTGAAGCATCAGTTTTAATAGAATTACTTCAGACAAAAGCAAACTACAACAGGAGGAATGGCACATTACAAGGAAGCATTTTGTAGAATCCAAGGCTCAGAATATACAGAATTAGCAAACCTAAGCTCCGAAGTATTGGATCAAATCGTCGTCAACCAAGAAGTCATCGAACGAGCTTGAAACGTCGATTCCAAGATGGAACGGACTGTTAAATGCTCCATAATCTAATGAGAGACTATTGATTGGTGATCCAAACTGTGAGTCAACAGGCCTATCTTGTTTGTTGTCGAACGTTTCTTTTATATAGTTGAAATCTCCTCCAATCGTCTCGTCGTTTCTATTTTGTGTTGGCACGTGTGCTCCTTCCTCCGATCTCAATTGAGGCTCGTTAACAAATTGAGGATGCTGTACATCATAGTTGGAATTATATTCCACTGGTGGATTATAAATATCGTAAGCGCTTTCCTGTTGCATGTCGACATTCTGCATTACGGGATACAACAAAGGCCTTCCATCAACATACATGCTCTGTGTGGAAATTATGTTGATATTATCCGTGGCACTCGTGGAGAACATGTCGAACTGGGGAGCTGGTACGTCTGATCGGACATCCATATCTTTCTCCAGTGGCCTCAAAGCTGTGACAGTATCCTTTTCTGGTAGGTTTCCTGGAATTTCATGTCTACCTAATGGTACATCAGAATGATTTATATCTAGATGAGTATTTCTTGGCTCGACGTTTAATTCTTCCTCGTTCGGTGTTTCATCGGCAGGTTTTGACCTGCCACCACGATGTCTTTTTCTCCGATGCTGTTCACCTTGCTCCTTTACTTGAGCAGGTTGAGGAGCATTGTTGCGTAGATTACTGGATGGCTCGGCATCCACCAATCGATTCCTCCTGTCGTCTTTACGAGAAACTGACCCACCATCATCTGCAAGATCAACATCATAGTCACTGTCACTGCTAATGGCAGCTTGCTTTCCACCACGACCACCAACCGGTGTCTCTGTAATTTCAGATGCCCCATTATCGCTGCTCGGTTGTCGAATTAGAGATTCCTCTCGGCTTAAAACTCCCAACCATATTGCACTCTCCTTTGCTGTCATCTTGTCTTGTAAGCACTTCGACTGACGTACATGCCTCCTTATCTTTGCAATATCAGGAGACATATGCTTTATCACAGCCGTTAAGACCCCGACCTTCCACATCTTCTTCAAATCATGTGGCTTCTTATAAGGAGGACTAACGCCATGAGATAGCCCGAGTTTTTCCCACCAAGCTTCATTTCCAGAGGGCCACCAAGGTGGAGGGACCCCTTTTTCTAAAGGGTACTTCCGTTGAGGGGGATCACAATGTTGCATCAACGAAGACAAAAGAGACCCGAGTGTCGCATCCTGAAGATCTTGAAGAACGCTCTGCGAATTCCTATTTCCATTTCCATCTGTCTCTCCCTTGGCAAGACATTCTGCTTCATACTTGGCTATGGCAGCCGGCCCGTTCTTATCAAATTTAACCTTTTCTTTCCACCACGCTCGAATGTTATCAGAAGCACCGCTAACCGGTTTCCCCTTTTCTGGAATAATGCCATATACAAATCCCCGAGCTTTACATACTTCCATAAGTTTTAACATGTACTTGAGAATCCCATCTTGAGCTCTAGACATCTTCTTCCTCCGAGCCTGGTCAGACGTATGCTTTGGCTTCTGCTTCTCCGCAGCCTGTTGTGCCGCAATCTTCTGTCGTTCCTTAATCCTTTTAAGCTTGATCCTATCCTTCCACATACGCTTCTCCAAATCCTCGGGTTCGATTTCTTCATCACTAACATCTTTCTCTGCAATATTGTCACACCTTATATCATCAACTTCCATATCCGAACAATCTCCCAACGCATCATCGACCATCATAAGATTCTCCATTTAAGATCAGATATCTGTTTTACTGCTAGTAAGAGATCACAGAAAGAACGCAACAAATTCAGAATTTCATTAGCTATATCGATTCAATAAGCATTCTCCTACAAACCTAAGCCGATGGTAATAATCTCAGCTTACAAAATTTCAATCCATAAACGCATCTCAATTAGCAGAATCAAATATCCATCAATCAGAAAGACCCTTTAATCACATCAATCGATATCTCCAGCAGCCTCAAAAGATCAAAACGAACAAAAAGATTAAACTATTACAGAGATGAAAAACAAAAATCGCGAAACAAGAACTTCCCAAATCTCAACAGTCAGCAGATTAGAATTTCCATCAAATTACAGCCAAATCAACACGACCCAGATAAAGAAATCCAACAAATTCTCAACATACTCAGGAATAAACAGGAAAACAGACCGATTGAATCACAGGGCAAGTGGGAAAGTTCAAAATCTTACCAAATATCGAGTCCAATAGCGAAACCTAAGGATGAACAGACATAGAAATCGAAACCCCAGAAAGCGAAAATGGATTAACGAGAACAATAGGGTCTCATAAGCCCTTGAATGCTGGAAAGAAGGCGACAACGAGCAGATGGGCGCAAAAGAAATGGAATAAGACGTGAAAAAGAGGGATTAAAGACGAAAAGGCTACAGAATTACTGGAAATCGGATGCAAATGGAGAGAGAAAGGGAGTGGGGAAGAACAAAACGAAAAGGGGTTTTAGAACAAAAAGAAGTAAATAGATCAAATGAACGAAAAAGGGAGGAGCGAGAGAGAGATTCTACGCAGCCAGATATGGATGAATGGTCAAGGAGCTGCGATTAAGTTGCCAACTTGTTTTTTTTTTTCTTCATTTTCTTTTAACTCTCGAAGAACCCAAATTCTCAAGCTTTTTCATCAAATCAACAATCACATTGGGAAGAACAAAAAAAAAAAAAATTATAAAACCTAAAATTGGTTTTATGGTAAAAAAAAAAAAGTAGAACACGTCACACTCAGACTGGTAAATTATTTAGTGCCCTGAATGAATTCCAGGTGTACTGCATTACATGATCTAATCATTTTATAGTAATAATAACATGTAAATGAAAATAAGAAAATAATTTTCATATTTAGTGGGTGTTTGTGTTTTTTAAGAATATATAAACATTAATTTGTGAATTTAAAATGTGATTTGACGAGGTTAAATTAGTAATTGACTTTCAAATTTCATTTTAATTTGGAGACTGTCCTTATCCCTATCCCTTTTCAACGATAATAACTTCATTACAATAAATAAATGCGAAGTGGAGAATTGAACCTTTGAGGGAATAGATGGTCAAGCACAGTCCTAACAAATAATTTAATTCAATATTTGAGTCGAGACTTAGAATATGAATTTGGCACCTAATAGCCTAACATCCCTGTACGACATGACCACATTGTCTATTTAACTCAAACTATTTTTAAGACGCGAAAAGCACTAATCATAATCTTCTTCTAGTAAAAAGCTTATAAAACAATTACAATAAGAGTAATGGAATTAGGAATGGTCTCAATTTCTTAAAATGAACTTTACTAAACAACCCAAACTTATTATGTGATAAAACTCAACAACGAAGGTACAATTTATCACCTTTATCACAATTGCATAAAAGTAGAAAAGTGGATGGAGTAAAAGGAATACTTCCTTTCAACCATAGGGTGAGGCGCTAGTGAATACCATTCGATTTGTGCCATAATGATGGTTGAATTGCATGCAAACTAGTCCATACGTTCACAAATATAAGAGAACAGGTTGATCAAGTTCTTTCATTAAAAAAAACGTTTTATCGTAATTCTATTTAAATAGGATGAGGGAGGAGTAGAGACCAAGGGAAGATTTGAACTCAGCCTTTTCATAGGATATAATACCTTAAATGTTTTCCGGCGGTGGATGGATTGAAGGGATTTGTACGATGCATTGTCTCAGACTTGAGATATTAATGGTAGAATAAGAAAACGTCGAGTTGTGTGCTTCTTCAGAGAATTTAGTAGACACGTCATATTTAATCAAGAGCGAGTCATACATACGAGTCCAAAATTTGTAATAAGCATAAACAGAGTCATCAGAGAAAACATGTTAGCTAGAACACCTTAATAAGGATAGAGTGACCCTAATAGATGAGCCTAGTGTCAAGGTAATGGTTGGACCAAGGACTCGATCCAGACCAAAAACTATGAATAACCTATTGCATGTAAAACGTAAGATATACTGGAAAGACTTTGAAGTTGTCAGCTATACTCATCTAGTTTTGTCTTATTTTGAAACTTAATGACGGTGGTTTAGATATAAAACATTTTTTTGTAAAATTGATCAGTCTCAGTAATAACGACAGTGAAACGGGCTTCCTGAGGAGCGGGCGTTACATTCAAGTTCCCTAAGCAACTTGTACAGCCATGAAAAAAAAAAAAAGAAATTTGTAGCAAGAGAAGAGAAGGCAACAAGATGAAGCGATGATGAATATATTAAGAAAGCTTATCATGTAATCTCAAAGAGGTAGCAGAAATCTTCTAACAATGCTAGATCCTTTAAATGCTAAGCTAATTCACATGAACAAATATGAAAAATGAGTTTCTATTCAAATATTGGCAATGAAGTTGAGAGTTTATGTACCTGAACGATGAAGGCTTTCCCTGGAGTTTGATCCCCAAGAAAAAGGGAAATGGCTTGACTGGACATCTAGGGGTAAAGCACGGTTTTGGTGCGGGCCGCGAGAGTGGTACCAAATCGAGGCAAATTCTGAATACTAAATAAGATCTCAAAATAACCGGGGTTAAGGTCGGCCAATGAGACGATGGGGGATAGGCTTCATCGTCGAGAGGAAAACCGCCCAGATCACCAGAGTTTGAAGGTGTAGCTATGCAGATTAGCAGATAAACAACAAACGCTACCAGTAATCGTTGCACGAACAAGCTCCATCTTTAAAGTGGTGATATCTAATTCTGTCCCTTACAACAATCTCCCTATCGTATACCTTGGAAATGAACTTTATAGCTAGATGACAATCTCCACATACTCTCAAGTTCTTCACAATGCGAATTGGAGTTTTAGGTGCGGTGTTCATCAACCCAAAGGCAATAGCCAACTTCTCACTGTGCTTCAACAGAGCTGTTTCTCTGTCCTCATTGTCATCGATATCCAGCAAAACTTCTCCGGATTCAGGGATGTAACCAGCCATCTTCAACTTGGTGGTCATCTCATCCAAGAACATATACAGCTCTTTAGTTTGAGGATGGGACCGATCACCTACAAGAAATTGATGGAACGTCCCGTTCAACTCGATGGAGCTGCAACCAGGAGTCTTCTTTTTCCCACTTACTGCAATCTTCTCCCTTAATGTCCTGGCTTCATTCCAATTCCCAGTCAAGGAATACATATTTGCTAATAAAACATGGCAACCCAGATGGTCAGAATCCAGCTCTCTAACAATTTTCCCAATTCTCTCTCCCATTTCAATATCCTTATGGGTTTTGCAAGCACTAAGCAATGCGCCCCAGATAGCTACATCTGGTGCCAAAGGCATACTTGATATGATCTCTTCGGCTTCTTTCAAGCGTCCCGAACGTCCCAGTAGATCCACCATGCATCCATAATGCTCTAACTCAGGCTCGACTCCAAAGCGACCAGCCATTGATTCGAAGTAGCCTCTTCCTTCTTCAACTCTATTCCCATGACTGCAAGCATTTAACAAAGCAACAAATGTAACTTTGTTGGGAGATACTTTTTCTACCTTCATTTGTTCAAAAAGCTCAATTGCTTCCTTAGATTTCCCATGCATTGCAAACCCACCAATCATGGCATTCCAGGGCCAAACCTTCCGAATCGACATCCGTTCACTGTTGAAAAGCTTCGAGGCAAACTCTAACTCTCCACATTTTACATACATGTCAATGAGTCCGGCTAGCAACCGATCATTCAACGGTATCTCATTCTTTCGAATATAAACATGCATCCATCTTCCTTGGTCCAACGCCACAAGATTAGCACAGGCTGCAAGGGCACTGGCCAACGTGTACTCATTTGGGCCCACCCCTTTTTGCAGCATCTTGTGGAAGATATCCAAAGCCTCCATGAAATGACCAACCTACGGATGAAGATCACATTTCAGCCTTTATGAAGCATAAATATCCCTGCTAGAACTAAACCCAACTCATATTACACTGAGTAATTGCTTACCATTTGATTTCCCCGCAGAGGCATGTTTGAGGAAACCAGACAGAAACATGCTTCTGTCCGCAAAGACAGTAAAAATGGCTTCTCATTATGGCATAGCGTATACCGTAGGTAGCATAGTATTACTGTCCCAAGAAGTGATTAAAATCATAGAACGTTAATGGTTTGCTAAAATCCCAAACATTGTGACCATCAAGTTCCTATACTGTGGTTCTATTTTATCTAGTTTCACGACTAATTTACAGCCACAAACTCCAACATGAACATATCTCAATTGGTCAAGACAGAAATCCGAAGTGAAAAGACAGAATTATAACTTATCCTTTTAATTAAAAAGATTTTAAAAAAATAAAAATGAATGCAGTTGTGTTCTTATCAAATTACCTGGACACATCCAGCAATCATTGTTGTCCACGACACAACATCTCTTTCAGGCATTTCATCAAACAGTTCCCGAGCATCATCCATTTTCCCCAATTTCGCATACCCACTAAGCATGATATTCCACGAGTACATATCTCTAATTGTGCTCCAATCAAACACCTTTCTAGCATCCCCAACAACCCCCAAATTCACATACATCCCAATCAACGCATTCATCACAAACAAATTATTCTCCAAACCAAGTTTAACAGCATGAGCACGAACTTGCTCCCCTTCCAAAACCCCAACAGCATTGCCACACCCCTTGAAGGCAAATGCAAAAGAATACTGATTGGGCACTAACCTTCCATCGCGGATCAGAGAACGAAACCTTGTGAAGGAATCTGCAGAGGAAGTGGCCGAAAGCGCGTGGGCTTTGATGATGGTGTTATAGAGGAAGAGATCTGGTTGGGGAAAATGATCGAACACCATTTGGGCATAAGAAATGGAAGCAAATCTTGAGAAGGAAAGAAGTTTGAGGAGTTTATTAGTGGCAATTGGGTGTAGAACAAGACCAGTAGTGATCAGTTGAGCATGGGTTTGTTTGATTTGGTGGATTGATTTGCAGAAATCGAGCAAAAAGAAGAGCTTAGAGGTGAAATCGTATCGTATCATTTTTGTAAAGGCAGGGACTCACCGAAGAAGCTTGAAGAACAGTCCCCTAAGAGCAGCAATGGCGGCCCTGCATTTCGCCATGTTGCGTTCAATATTGTTTTGACGTTCTAAATAAATATGATTTCTTATTGGCAATATTAAGGTATTTAATATACATATGTTTTTTTTACTTTTATTTTACAATTTATATAATTAATAAATATATTTAATTGATAATACATGATCTAGAGTGTATTTTTTATTATTTTTTAATAATAATATATTATTATTATTTATTAAAAAAATTCTTTAATATTTTTTTATAAATTAGATAAAAATAAAATAAAATAGTTAACCAACTTAAAATTTTTAAATAATTAGTTATATAAAAAAATATTAAAGAATTTTTAAATAATTAGATATATAAATATATATTTAGTGTCTCGACACATCTTTCGAGTTTTTCAGAGCTCCATTTTATCAACATCGATATTTTGATGATCGAGCATGTTGAGGAATGAAATTATTAGAAAACTTTTTGAGCGGTTAATAGCTCATCTTCTTCACTAAAAGAGTAGCAACCATAGTCAGCAGCTCTAGCGTTTGAGGAAAGTCTCGAACCAGTGAGCTGACTTTTTAGGGTATCTTTTCATCCCATCTTTATAGTCAACAAAGGTGATGCCAAATCTGACCGTATAGCCATCCGACCATTCGAAGTTATCCAACAACGACCAAGCAAAATACCCTTTGACTCTCGAGCCATCCCTTCACAAATTTGCACCATTTTTGTTAGCGATGGTATAGAAACGGGAAAAATGAGAGAGATTTGAGCTGAGAAAGGCTTACTCGATGGCTTTGTGTAGGAAATAGAGATGAGCTCGATGGTAAACGATTCTAAAGTTGTCTATAAGTGCTTCCTTTAGGGAGAGAGTGACATTGTTAAACTCGTCCACTCCTACAAAATAAAAGCATTTCGGATGTAGTTCTTATCTTAAGCAAAACTTATGTGAAAAGCCCGTCGTTAACGTACCGTTTTCTGTGATGTAGATGACGGGATTGTTGTACTTTGCTTTTATATATAGAAGCGCATCGTGAATGCCTCTAGGGTAAACTGCGAGCCAAGGGGAAGCGGCGATTGGGCCGATGGGAACTCCGTTGCGCTTGGTTGAGAGAATGGTACGAGCATCGGAGAAGTAGGTTGCACGATTAGCGTTGGGGGGTGGAGTGTATTGGGCGTAATTGGTAGTGTAGTAGTTGAATCCAAGAAAATCGAACGACCCTTTCACTAACTCGGATTGTTCTTTTGTGAAGTTTGGGAGTCTCATCCCTACGAGGGATTTCATGCTCTTTGGATAATCTCCAAACGTCAATGGATTCATGAACCTGCATTTCAAGAACAAATTTAATAATAATGTTATTATGACGTTTTTGTTTTTTCGAGAATCGGGGCAATGATTTATATATATATATATATATGATTCAATGATTATAGTATATAAATGGGTGACATATATAATGACAACCCAAATGTCAAATTAATTATTGCAAATAGTCGTGTCATATTTTTTAAATTATAAATTGCAAAATATGACAAATAAAATAAAACAAAACAAAATTCAACATTGGAGGAAGCTTAGAATAAAAAAATAAATTTAAAAAATGCAAATAAAATAACAATCAAAGTCTAAAAAAATTAAATTAATTATAATATCCCTGATTTTTGCCATTTATTTCTCAATTAATTTCAATAATATTCTTAAATTTTAAAAATATATTTAATTTTTTTAATTTAAAAAATATTTTAATTCTTTTTTAACATTAATATCCTCAAATTGTTTTAAAAAAATTTTAAAAGTATTTTTAATATTTAAAAACAAATATTAACGTTTTCTATAAGATTTTTACTTTTTTATATTTTAAAAAAATTAAAGTGTATTATTAAATTTAAAAAATATTTTAAAGCAAATTAGAAAGATTATAAATATTTTTATTAATTTAATTATTTAAAATAATAATAATAATAATAATAATCTTACCAGCCAAGCATGAAATCAAGAGCTCTATAAGCAGCTTTGCGCTGTTTTCTTGCATTTGAAACAGGAACAAACCAGTGTGACACTAACGTTATTCCTATCAAACCCTTCTGAGATTTCTGCATATAATTTTAATTATAAATATTAATATAATATTTATTTATTTATATATATATATATATATATATATAACAAAATATAAGACCTGATATTTTTCCCGATAAAGCTGGACGGCGGCGGCATGAGCAAGAATTTGATAGTGAGCCACCCGATACGGCTCAGTAGCAGCGTCGCCGCCGCTGCAACTCAGGTTCTGCCACCACGAGCAGCGATTTGGGGCAAATATGCCCAACGCATATCCGCCCATGCTGTAAGACCACGGCTCGTTCAAGCTGATCCAATGCTTCACTCGATTCCCGAACTCTTTGAAGCAAACTTCCACGTAGTCTTTAAAATCATCCCTTTTTTAAGTTTAAATCATTCGCTATAATTATTTAAATAACATTATATTCTTTTAAAAAAAATTGAAAAAATTGTGACTTACACGATACGAGGGCTCAAGAAACCACCGTATTCGTCTTCTAAAGCTTGGGGAAGATCCCAATGAAAGAGTGTAACATAAGGCTCGATTCCTGTATTTCGTAGCTATAACGGGTTAAAATCACTTTTATCATCACGAAAGGTACTAGAAGTGGAATGACCCGAGAACCTTTAGCTAAAAGCTCGTTTATGAGGTTGTTGTAGTACTGAATTCCTTTACGGTTTACTCCTCCGCTAAGCTTTCCTTCTGTCGGAATAAAACGGTCATAATCAGGTATGGGTTGAGTCAAAAAACGCTAATCGAGTAATATTTATTTTATAAAAAAAGACATACTTGGGAGGATTCTAGACCAAGAAATTGAAAATCTATAAGCATCTAAATTCATCTTCTTCATAATCCCGACATCTTCCTGTTAAACCATAAGATAATTAATTAATTAATTAATTAATTAGCTAATTAATTATTATTATTATTATTATTTTTTTTTTTTATGGTCACGTGCACTTTACCTTATAGCGATGGTATGCATCATTGGCTATATCTCCACTACTCCCATCTTTAATTTTGCCTGCCATTAATCCCAATATGTATTAATATATTATTTATGAAAAATGATTAGTAACCTATAAAAAAAAAAATAATAAAATAAAAAATAATTTTTCGGTTAAATGTTTTTTTAATAGAATGAGTGACTCGTGTTAGAGTTTTTATGGGTTGACTATAGACTAGTCAAATAGGCTCGGGGTTCATTAAATGCACGGGCTCAGATCAATTCGAGTCTAGTAAATTAAGGCACCTTGATTGTTGTGATCGATGACTGAGCACGATATGGAATGGTTAACTATTCTCACCACGTGCATTTCTAGAGATTACTCAAATCAAGAACGCACTAATTCGACTACTATAGGAATTGGACTGTCGATGGGGCTAATGTTATGGGTTGACCCATGACGGGTCAAATAAGCTAGGGCCTACAAAGACCCATCAAATTCATTGGCTTGGATCAATCTGAACCTAGTGATTATCAACTATATGAACCCGGATTAAGGATCGAGCATGACACGAAAGGATACACATCACATCATATAAGTTCAGCTAGTTCATCAAGAAAATATGACACTGATTTAGGAAGAAAGATGTAATTATAGAGGATCGAGGTCACATCAATTCAGTGGTCCCACGTATTTTTTTGTATTGACTTAAATGAGTCCACTTGGACAATTCATAATGATTCTTAATTTCAAACGTTTTTTTTTTATATATAAAATAATGTTTCAAATTTGAATTCGTCTCTTATATAGAATATTAGAAAATAAGATTTCTTTGACTTTGACTGATCTCATGTCGAGATCTATACAAAAACTATATAGTTTATGAATACTTTTTAACTTTTATATTTGGAACGAATATATTCTAAAAAATCAATATTTTTAATTTTGTAATTATTTAATATAAATTTTTTTATTTACGGAGGTGGGAAATTCAAATTTTCATATGTTCATTTTTTTCTAAAGAAAAGGAAGACATGGATAAAATTGATGAAACGAAAGTGACTCGAAAGAGAAAAGGAATGACGGGTTTCACCTTACAAGGAGACGTTATCAAAATATGAAAAGACGAGTCTACGAAACTCCATACCCTCTAAACGAAAATAAAGAATATTTAAAGTTAGAACGGGATAAGATTACGACGATCACATTGAAAAATTATCGAGAAAAAACAAGACCTGGGTATTTATGTGTGAACGTATCCCAAATACTCGGCCCTCGACCATCTGTATTAGCAGCACCTTCATACTAAGAATCAAACAACAAATTAAACAAACAAACAAACAACTCGAACACTCAAACAATGCCAGCAAATCATTAGCTCAAACTCACTTGGTAAGCGGACGAAGCTGTCCCAAATACGAACCCGTGTGGGAAACAACTTCTATTCAAGGTGAACTCAACGCCATGGCTAGGGTTTCCACTAGCACGAACAAGAACAAGAACAAGAACACGAAGAACGAGAAGAACGAGTTTTCCCATGGCTAGGGTTTTGTTTTACACATAAAACCCACCACAAAAAAGACAGCTTTATAACGGGGAAGAAGAACCAATGATCAAAGTTGAAGGATTCCACTTTTGACAGCCTTGTCTTTGTTCTTTGCTTTCGACAACGACAAAAACCAGACAAACCCACTGATGATGTCTAAATTTAGTGGGAAACCCTTTTTTTTAATTTTTTTAATCTTTTTAATTTTTTTTGACCTAAATGGATAAATATCTCATCTATAGATGGGTTTTGTGTCGTCGTTTAGATTACGACTTGAAGGGTGTTTGACACGCAGCTCGAGTTAAGTCTGTACATGTAAAAGTTGAAAGCTTGTCAAATTTGACATCAATTGGACACCAGACGAACGTTCCACAAGACCATAAAGTCTGTAGATGTGAAAGATGAAAGCTTACCAAGTTTGATGTTAATTGGACGACTATAGGATCATTCACTAAAATTACGTAAAAGTCTCTTACTTGGTATCAGTTTTCCACCACCCGAGATATATTTTGA